AAGTACTGACGCCTTAAACCGTGCGGCTATCGACTATCGCTATATCGGCTATCGACCGTGTGATGGATCGTTAGTTTTTAATATAATTTTGTCACAAAATGTATCTTATGTGATTGTAGTTTAATCAATATAAAAGTTAAATAGTTGTATTATGGAGCAGGAATTTTTCATATGGGCTCCCTAATATAATATTCAAAATTTACTACATGTTTAGTCATTATTACACTAGTAGCATCTGCCATACATATAAAAAACGTTTAGAAAATGCCATTGTCTTGAAATATTATTATGGAAGCCCACATTTCCCAGTATAAAGTGTCAATATTTGTAACATGAAATCAGGATACATTTAGATAGAATAAGAAGCAAGCATTAGCAGAAAAATTTACAAATGCCTTTCATGGGCATCAAATGACGGACAATATAACAACTTTTTGTAAGTGTGAAAATCTAATATTATAAAAGAGTTTTCTTTGAGACATTTTGTAGAAATAAAGTGATATAGTTTTTAGAGGTACGGAAAAATGCTCATGTTAGGAAGAATGTCTATATTTGGAATTTTCAATTAAAATGTCAGTTTTATGAATTTTCTTTCAAAATTTAGCGTAAACAAAATGTTTTACTTTTAATTCAATTCAATATTCAATCAGTTGTGCTTTATTACAGTTTTCACAAAACCATCAGCAATGCCTTCAGAGGTAATACAATGGGCCCATATACCATAAGAACAATATCTGCAATATACATACTTCTATAGATGTCTTAATCTAATTATTCTTTAAACAAGAGCGTCTAATTTTTCCTTATCTGCCTTTTCTTCTATATAAATTTGATAATTTAATAAATAAAGTTTGATAATTTTGTCGAAAATGTCACCATCTATTCTTATGTTTAATAGAAATAAAAGGATATTACGAATTAATATAAGGGTGATCCATATCAAGAGCTGTCACATTTAATTTGACATATTTTTTCAGTTGTCTATTTTCATTGGGCCATAGTTAGCCTGCCTCGTTATGGAAATAATAGTCCTTAATATTTGCATTTAATAAAAAAAAAGACAAATTGTAGATATAAAAAAATTCAAAATAAAGCAAGTACTTTTCTAAGGATTTTGGTATAGTTTTGCAATTTAATTTTGACTTGGACCATGTCAATGTTATAAAGAAAACTAAATAATGGAAGAATGACTTCACTATTTTAGCAATAACTTGCAAACGATAGAACATATCGACTTGCGGTTTGTGCACTTGTTTTCCTTTATAAATGGTCTATCAAGCCATGAAAAAAAAACTATATCGTTGCGCTTAATTTTTTTAGTAAACGAAGGCAATTACAAATCTTTTCTGATTAGCGTCGTCTACCGTTGCGTAGGAAAATAATATTTTTATTCCCATATCTTAAAAATAAATTTTATTAATAGTTCGTTAAATTGAGCCGTTATTTCTTGAAATCGATTAAGGCATTTAGAAGTTATGACAACATAAAAATTTCAAGATGGCGTCCTTCATACTGGCGTTGCTATGCTAATAACAAAAAAAAAGTTCAAACTAAACTTGTGAAGGGTTTAAGAGTGTATCTAAAAAGTGTATTTTCAACTTAGGTTATATAAGCAAAATTTAAAAAAACGACAATTTTCTGTAACACTGTAGCAGTTGCGCCCTCTAGCGACGAAGTTACAAACTTGAAAATATTTTAAATCAATTTCTTTTGGCCGTATTTGTCAATAGATTTTTTACCCCATAATCGTAGCACGTCTAGTTTCCTATATACAGCCGCTCGATACCGATCACCCTGTAAATCAATTTTGTCGATTTTTTTCCAAGAATAATTAAAAAATTATTTTTTTAATTAAGTATAATACAGAATTTCCACTAAGGGCTGGTCTTTTTAGGTGTCGAGTAAATTTAACTGTCAGTTCAAACTATTACTGTCACTTTGTTATACATATGTGTTATGTGAGAAAGATATAGATTTAACTGGGAGGTATTTTTATCTGAAAGTGAAAATACCGCCCTTAAATATAAAATTTGGCATACGAACTTTCCCCGTGTTGCTTTTTCCGTTGGACGCCAATGAAAAACACCTTTCTGTAATAGTATATTACGTAATAAGTGTTGTAAAAAGCATTTTACGCACGAATGGGAATGGGAACAGTATATTACGTAATAAGTGTTGTAAAAAGCATTTTACGCACGAATGGAAAAGTTACGCACGACGCCGCGTAGCGGCGAGTGCGTAATTCTATGAGTGCGTAATTGCATTACACCACGTATTACATACTATACTTTATCTACGACCACTACTTTAAATACTTAAAAACACATCGTCTGCGATCAATGCAAGATTCCTATTACGTCGTATGGTAAAAAAACGCACAGCTTGGTAAAAAAATCGTAGTTTTCCTAGCAACCGCCTAGCAACGGTCAATACAAACAGTATTGTATTGGCTGTTGCTAGGCGGTTGCTAGGAAAACTGTGCGATTTTTTTACCGTACGTAATAGGAATCTTACATTGATCGCAGACGGTGTGTTTTTAAGTAATTACAGTAGTGGTCGTAGGTAAAATATTTTATCCGTGCAGTGCTTTATTTCCAATATATCTTTTCTTCGCAGTCTTCGCACAAGGACAATAATATATACATATAAGGAGTTTAAAGTGTAAACCCTGCACGTACTCCCCTGTACTTATATATATTTCTAAAAAATTATAGAGGTACAACATTCGGAAAAGTAAATCTTCAAAGCCAATGGAAATGTCACGCATAAACTGTTGAAACAGTATTTTTTAACTGACATCAAGCTCTGCAGTGTTGCACTTGCATCATCCGATAAGGATCTCGGCGAAGCAAATAATAGTCGAAGGCTGTACGTACAATGGTCACTTATTGTTGTTAACATGCATAACTAATGTACGGCCATCTATCATTTAAGTTTGCACTATTTTATATCCTGCGAAATACGTGAATAAATGAAATAGATATTCAACCGTCTGTTAAGGATCTACATGTGGCTTCAGATTGGTAGTGATTTCCAGGATAGTGTAAAAATGTGTTAACTATATTGGGGATGGTTGACAAAATAATATTTTATTTAATTATATTATTTAACTACATGAGACATTTTTATTTTGATTCTGGCGTGTTATGACAATGTAAACTTATTTTCTACAAAAATATGATAATTTTGGTTTCAGTAAGAATTCATAGTTTTCCTTTGATGATTAATTTTTAATTGCACTAAAGAGGATTCAGAAAATAAGACTTACGAAAAACATAATAGGCTTATAATGTGTACATCTTTCGTTAATACTTGTTTTAAATACTTGAAAAAAATTGTCGGTATATAAAAACCAATCGAACCTAAGTTGAAATAAACCGTTTTATAATGATCGTATTCCTTCAATGAAATTTTATTAATTTATTAAATTGCTAGTTGCTAAGTAACTGTTATATTGTATTTCATGTTTTTTTAATGCAATCAAGAAACTTGTTATGGACAATCTTTGAAAATTAAAAAAGTTAAAAGCTGTGTTTAAATATTTTTTCTAATGAATTCGTTATTAAAAAAAAATTATAATAATTACAGGCAAAGTAAAAAATATGATAGCCAAGAAACGCAAAATGAATTAATAATCACGTATAAATTGTTTAAAGTAGTGTAAAATTTATGTGAACTGTACAGAATATGATTGAGTGTAAATGTTATGGTGTGCTAATTGGATGTACTTGAGTGTAACTGTAACGATTATTTTGTTTTCTCTTTTCTTTACATTTTTATCTGTTATTATTTAAATAATATTCTATTCCTCTACTGTCGGCAAAAGATCTCCAAATACTGTCTTACAAGCTTTTTTCTGAAAATGAATAATATGGAACATCTTTTTTTAATTAGAGGTGGTAGACATCATATATACTGCAAAACCTTAAAAGTATTTTGAGATATCATCTATTTTTATGGGCCTCTTTAATGGGCTCTACCCTTGAATTAAAAAAAGTCAACTTAAACCAACTTACCTATACGCATACAGAAGTCAAGGCCTACTGAGATATACCCCTATCAATGTGATAATTCGAAGAAATATTTGTTTATACTTTAAAATGATTTGAGCTAGAGACTGCTGGTTGGTAAGCAGCTAAAGTTATTTAAATCTAATATGCTACTAAAATATGGTAGAAAATTGTTCATCTTGAAGTCTTCTTAATTATCTACAAATGAATATTTTATAAAATGGAATGGAAATAAAGCAGTTGAGAATGAAACACTGTCACAGTCCCAAAACTACCTCTTACGCTACATGTGTCATTTAGATAATACTGTAAAAATTAGTGCCGGGGTACCCTAAGTGTAAGTTTAAAATGTATAAGATATTCCACAATTTTAGAGATATCTCAAAACATAAATTTACCATTCCTCTTCAAAGATGTCTTCTTTATTATTAATTTTCGGAAAAAAGTTTATATCAAAAAATGCTTTAATTTTTTCGATCATCGAGGGATAAATAAAAATTAAATTTCACCATTTTGGAGATATAAATTAATTGAAACTTTTCTTATTGCGATTTTCATCCTATAGATTTGAAGAATTGTTTTGCTATTTTGGTACCTTTTTCACAACAAATTTGTACATTATGCATATTTCGAAAGAATAACATTTTCATTGGCTTTTAACAATCAACTAGAATTTCAGTGTTATAGACTTAGGCCATATAGTTACCAATAACAGTAAAATTTTGACTTTAAAACTCGTCTCGAGTTTGACCTTTTAAGTACATATAACGATTGTATTTATGCACAACGTAATAAACTTAGTTTTAGATCACAGAATAATTTAGTTGATTTACACAACTGGATTTTATATATCATTTATGGTTTTCGAGAAAATTCTTTACTGTTGTTATGTCTATGTTATGCCTTCAATGTTGACTCAAATTATTTCAATCAACGGCTTCAAATAAATACAGGTTACATACAGAATCTACAAGTGGTATAGCTACTTACGGTCTTTTATTTCTGTGATAATAGAAGTTATCTGTTCTCCATGGGGTCCAATGCTCGATGAAATTATGGACCCATTCTCGCTATAAATTATCTTCTGCCCACCCGGTTTATTATAATTATAGCCACCATTTGGATTATTTGGATCACTTGGTTCAGTCGGCTTATTCTTTACTGATTCATCACTATATCCATTACCATTAGAAGGCCCTGGACTGTATGGGTAAGGCATGCCACTGTCTGGCTTCCCATCAGAATCTAAACCAGGTTTCAAGGGTTTGTCGTAATGATACCCTGGACGATCTCCATCAGGTTTACCGTTCTCATAAATTCCAGATCCTGGAGCTGGTTTAGGTGGTTTACCGTAATGATAGCCAGGACGAGAATCTCCACCAGGGCGGCTATCGCCATAAATATGAGAGTCAGATGGTGGCTTAGAAGGTGGTGCGTCGTAATGATAACCTGGATAATCTGGTTCATTTGGGTGGCCGTAGAAAGGTTTCCTTAGTGGTTTATCAAATTTGTCACCTTCTGGATAACCATTAGTGCCTGGTCTCCTATTGTAATCATCCGGATGTGGTATAACGGACCCATACTTCGGAGGAAGAGGTCGGTCGTAGTAAATTGAGTTCAGAGAAGGGTCATAGGGGCGATCCCCTGGTCTAAATGGTCCCGCTGGTCTGTCGTACCTAATTGAGAAAAAAATGTAATTTAGCCAACAAGTTTGTAATTCCATTCTTCTGATTAAACTAATGAATACGATATCTAAAAATTTTTGCTAAATCTATATACAGGTTGTCCGGAAAACCGAAATGGTGGAATTATATGGGAAGTGTTCTACATATATAATTTTATCAATCTGAGCCTAGCTAAGAAGTTGCAATCCATTTTAAGTGGGGGTTGAAATAATATATTTTTAACATTTCTCCAAAGTACCTGTAGTTAAAAATCATTTTATCACTAGTTTGCATTCCATTTATTTTATGCTTTTTGCTGCTCTACAAGGACTTGACATAATAAAAATATTGATAATAATAATAATACTGATCTGATAATAGCAAAATTAACTAGAAATTTTAATGAATACAAAATGTACAAAAATAAAGGCAATACTGAAATATTATAAAACGTATAATATTTTGAAATGGATAGAGCAGAGCAAAAATATAACTTTGTTTTCAGTTCCTTAAAAATAAAGGATGAAAAGAACGAAAAATATTACAGCTTACATCAGTCCCTTGAAGAGAACCAGGAAATAGTGTATGAGAACTTTTTTCTAAGTGTAGTTTCGATTTTTATGGAACACACCTCGCCCCCCCAAAAAAAGATTTCCACCATTTCATATTACAATAATTTCCGGAATACCCTCTATATCCGAATTTTATGAAATTGTATAATTTGTTAATTACCCGACGTACCCTTTATCATGTGGTCCTTGGGGTTTGAAGTGGTCATCGGATCCCAGTGGTCTCTTAGGAGGCCTATCATAATCTGAATCAGGTATACGATCCCAACGTCTGGTATCAAATGGAAGATCAGGTCTGTCATAAGAATCCGGTCTATCGTAAGGACGATTTGGCCTATCATAAGGAGGATCAGGCCGATCGTAGTCAGGACCCGGTTTACTATGCGATGAGCCTGGTCTATCATAGGGCCCATCAAAAGAATTTGGTTTGTCAAATGGAAGGTCTGGCCTGTCATGAGGTTGATTTGGTCCATCATAAGGACGATCTGGCCTGTCATGAGGTCGATTTGGTCCCGGAAGATCTGGCCTGTCATGAGGTCGATTTGGTCCATCGTACGGACGATCTGGCCTGTCATGAGGTCGATTTGGTCCATCGTACGGACGATCTGGCCTGTCATGAGGTCGATTTGGTCCATCGTAAGGACGATCTGGCCTGTCATGAGGTCGATTTTGTCCATCGTACGGACGATCTGGCCTGTCATGAGGTCGATTTGATCCATCGTACGGATCTGGCCTATCAAATGATGAACCCGGCCTATTATGATCTGGTCCATCGTAAGAATTTGGTCTATCATACGAAGGATCTGGCCTGTCATGGGGTCGTTTTGGCCTGTCATAAGGGGGTTCTGGTCTATCATAGGATCCATCTGGCCCGTCATAAGGAGGTTTATCATATGGCGGTCTATCATTTGGTGGTTTATCATATGGCGGTCTATCATTTGGTGGTTTATCATATGGCGGTCTATCATTTGGTGGTTTATCATATGGCGGTCTATCATTTGGTCGTTTATCATACGGTGGTCTATCATAAAATGGTCTATCTAAATCATCTGGTTTTGGTCTATAAGGCCTTTCGTCATCGTACGGATGGTTGAGAATCGAAGGTCTAAAAGGAGGTAAATCGCTTGACGCACAACACTCTTTATTTTTTTCGCAACATCCGCTTGGTCTAGGAGCTTTGTGCGGTCTTCCGTAGCTATAAGGTCCATCACCTACTAAAATCTCATGTACTGGATGCAGGTAAGAGCGAGGTCCACTAGCTACACTAACAAGTGTTTGAACATGATGAACTTCATCCGAACTTGGAGGGAGGTAGTGTTGGTTATTGAAATTGGATGCGTATGGAGATTTTGGGTATTCATTTTTCGGATGATGGTACTCATCATCAGGACGTGCATCACCATAAGACGGGTTAATATGTGAATCTGATTCAGAAACGGCATCAGTTGGTCTCATGTCTGTGTCAGAATCAATGAGGGGTGGTTTATCGTGTGGGGTTTTGTCGATAACCACGCTGCATCCCAACTTTTTTATATATAGATCATAATCAGTTTCTGCTACGGTGCCGATGGGTTTTAGATCGGCCGTTTCTCTAATGAGGTCGGAACTCAACTCGCAGGTTCCATTTCCTTTTGTACCAATCCTGAAAAATGATTTTATTTATTAATACAAAAAATCCTATTGCTATTTTCAAAGTTGGAGACAATATTTTTAATTAGAGAAATATTTTTTGATCGTTGTTTCTTTATTATTGACAACTTAAAAATTGATTGCCATATTCATTGACATATGCTGACAAATACAGGAAAGCATTCCAATATTTCTGTTATCAAACAATTATAGCAATGCAGATAGTTTAATACAATTACGAAATACATATATTGTACTCCTATTATCGCTGTTGTATATAAAGTTGCCTATAATATAGAAAGAGAACGATCTCGCTATAAATCCCATCTAGTTAAGAAATATGTATGAATAATAATAGGTAATTTAGAATTTTCCTTCAAATATATTTTTGAAAAATAACGGTTCTACAATTGGAATCAGTTATTATTTTTTCTACCTCCTTATACGTAAGTATATGTTAAATTCTATTTTATTTCAAAAATGAGAATATGGAAAGGACCAGAAAAAACAACAAGCAAAGCAAAAAGATTTTGTGTGACTTGTTAATCTTTTGCCTAACTAAAGATGGTAATTGTCTCACATTTACACAGCTGATTATAATTAATGAGAAGTACGGTATGCATGCTTTTAAAGAATTTTAGAGAATTTAATAGACATATTCTGGTTAGTATAAATTAAGGGCTACCAGTTTTTATGCCGCTGGCTAAACGGTACGTATCGCCATTAGATCAACAGTCCCTCTTATTTACACACATTCAAAAAATGTATCTGCTCTTTTTTTAAGTAAGTGCGTTCTATAATTAATCATAAGTATACAGACGCAAGAGAAAAATTAGTTCAAGTTTTAGCCACATAATTATCGAATCTTAACATAAAACCAAAATTTATCATTTGTAAAAAATTGAGGAATCCATTAGAAATAATTTACTGATGGAATGTGCAAAAAGATAATAACGACAGTACATTGGCACTGGTAGAATGAGAGAGCAGAAAAATTAAAGAACTATATAATTTGTCGTCGGCATTTTAGGAATGTAAAAAGCCCATCTTTTGATTTAACAGGAAATCACAGGTATTCAACTTCTTTACTAGAGAGGTAAGTAAACTTGAGTAACATTTTAAAATTACAGTAAAAAAATATTTTTTTCTTACTGCCACTACTATTATGTTTAACTGCAGAGATTTTATAAGACGGTTGGGACTCTTTATCACTTCATTCCTTTTTGTTTTGGTCTTCTGTCTAGACAAAAAAAAATCTAAAAGTTAAGTTTTAGGAAATCTTCTTGCGATTTCAAAGAAATTTCTATTATTATTTAATGGAGCATACTGTGTATTTGCAATTTTTTTCTAGTTACAATATATCTAAGTCATCTACGTACAGTGCCGGCCCTTTGAAAGTGGACGACTCTTATAAGCAAATTGTCTATAATTGGCCTTTGTGAAACTGACTTGAAAATGTGAGGTTCAAATCGGCTGTCATTATGTCAAATTTAATGTGTGTCTATCCTACTGGTTCTAGTGAGCAAAACAAATCCAAATTAGGTAACAAATTATTTATTTTTCCAATACTGAAATATATTATACATTCTAACGACCATTCATTCGCCATCAAAGAGATCTAAAAATGAAACACTTTTCGTCGTCAAAAAAACGCGATTCGTAAAGTTAGTATTTTGCCCAAGCACCATTTTTGTCTATAAGACTGCAATCTACATGGCATTGATAAAATTAATGTCCTTGTTATAATCCTCAGTGATGTTATCTCATGCGTTTTCAATTGCCTCCCAAAGTTCTTCGACGTTAACTGGACGGAAGTTTCTGCCGTAAATTTTTTTCTCCATATATTCCCAGGACTTTGAGGGCCAAGGTAAAACATCGATGTTGTTATCAATGAACCATTCTGACGCAGCTCTTGAGGTGTGAATTGCACAATTATCCTGCTTGAAAGTGAAATTCTGAGGATACAGCATGGTTACAACAAACATCAGGTCTTTGGCTTAACCAAGCCCAAACGTTAATGGAGAATCTATCGCTGCGCTGTGTGGGTTTCACATAAGGCTCCGAATACCACATAATCTCTAGTGGGTAGACACGGACAAATATAATATTCTCCCAGAAGTTGTCTGCGCTTCCTGCAAATTGTCTTGCAAACTCTAACCCCTGTTCTTTATACTGGGGAGTCAAAGCAACTGTTACACACTACGTTTATCTCGGAGGTTTCAATCTGCTCGAAAGTGAAAAACAAATTGTTGGCTTGATGGATGGAAAAAGACTAAGAATAGTCGATGTTTTTAAAAGTTTAGTTGGGCCTATGGTTGAAGCGGGTTTTCAAAGGGATGCGTCCCAACTGATCATAAAATGGAAGAATTTAAAAAGTGAGTACATTAACATTAAGAGAATAGTAGGTACCTAACACAAGTTATTTTCAGGCGACTATTACAAAAGTAAAAGACACAATGCAATCAGTGGCAACAGTCCACATTATTGCGATTTTTTTGATGCATTACATGAGATTCTTGGCACGAGACCATGTGCCCAAACTGAAGGGTTTGATTCGAGCGTACCAGAAATACAAAATGACTACGAATAATTCCGAAGACCTACATGTTAATGCAGAAATAACGGTTGAGGAAGAACTGGGTAGGTATTTTTAAAGGGTTTGTTTAACTAGTTTGTCTGTATGCAAACAAACGAAATTTATTTTAAGTTTGTACGACATAAGAGTATAATCTAATTTATATTATTTTGTAGTGGTACTAGAAAATTCCACAGACTGTGACAGTGATATATCGGCCACAACACCAACTACTAGTAACAAAGCCAGACAAACCAAGGTCACAAACACACGTCGAAATAAGAAATCACTGTCGGAAATACAATTACAAATACAACAAATGAAAAAGGAAGAAGGGGAAGCAGAGAAGGAAATGTTCGATCAATTTTTAAAAAAAACAAGAAGAAATAATGTTGAAATGCATAAAAGTAATGTTAAAAGGCTTGAAAGAAATTTTTACTGGTTCACGGGATGATGATGAAAGTGATGAAAGTGAATATTAATATAAAATATTAAATAGCAAATAGCTCTTACTACTACATAATAATAATAATAAAATATAATACAGAAAGTTGGTAATCTTTTTATTGGTTATTTATTTGAGTGTTAACAGAGGATCTAAGTGGGTAATTATCACAAAGAAAGTTTGTTAAAAAAGTACGTATGTTATGCCCTTCAATACTATTTTTTTGCCGATTTATACACTTTTTTGATGGCTCCAAAATCATTTCAGCGTCTTGCACAGCTTTCATCCAATTTTCTTTAAAGTTATCTTTATGAAGTTCAACAATGTTGTGAAGTGTACAACAAGTTGCTACTACCTGTGGAACAAACGAGTGATGAACAACTAATCGTTTCATAAGGCACCTCCATCTTGATTTTAGTCGTCCAAAGGCAATTTCAACAGCCACTCTTGCTGAATTTAGATATACATTAAACGAATCCTCAATTGCTGTCACTTTTCCTGTATAACCCTTCAATAACCAAGGAAGTAAAGGATAGGCTGGATCGCCAATTATTATGTAGGGTAATTGCCTTCCCTGTAAATATACTGTGCCCTGCAAATATCATTAATAAGTTATACTTTAAAATACAAAATAAATATATTCTACTTACTTTGGGCAAGATGGTTTCTATATTTTGATATATTTTCGACGTAGTCAAAATTGCAGCATCATGTGTTGCACCTGGATTTTTTATGCAAATATCCATAAATTGATAATTATGGTTTACCACTGCTTGTAATACTTATGATGCCCAACCTTTGCGATTTATATAATCTCTATATTCTTCAGAAGGAGGAAGAATAGGAATATGAGTTCCATCAATTGCGCCGATAATATTTGGAATGTGGGTAGTTTTTTCAAAAAAACTTGCATTTTCAATAGCTTCAGCTTCATTAGGCATTTTTATATGTTTTGGTGTTAGTTTTTTTATGCACGCCAAAATGAATTCATGTGCAATTTTACACACAGTTGATTTATGAACACCAAACTGATTTCCAATAACTCGATATTCACAGCAACTAGCCAAGTAGTACAACGCTATGACTACTTTTTTTTCAACTGAACATACCATATTTTGTTCTTTAAAAACTGGATTTGGGCGGGGTGAAAGTTGTTGCCTCAGTTCATTACATATATACATAAATGACTTTTTAGACATTCTAAAATTTTCTATCCACTGGTTTTCACCAAATGTGGATTGCTGGACTATATTTTCCCACCAATCATAACTCCTCTTTTGATTATGTGCACGCCGTCCCTTCATTGCTAATTTAATTTTGTGTACATAATAACACCTGCAAGGTAATTAATTAGTAATTAGAATGAAATCTTTTCAGAAAGATTTGTACCGACTTGTGGATAATGCGTCGTTTTCTCCGGACTTGTCTCCATTTCAAAAAACCATTATTAATAAATGCAGTGAGAAACGTATTATATGCTGATAAAATCATACCACTATAACTTTCCATTTCTTATTCGATGGGTTATTTCATTACATATGGTTATTTTATTGATAGATACTTAGGTTATTTGACAAATAAACAAATTAAGTTAGCTTAAAAATTCCGTTGGATGTTAACAGAACCACCAATAACACAAATTGATTATTTACTAAATATTCTCAGTAATGCCAACACTGATGTTTAAAATTGGATTGGCTCGATCAGCTTTAAAAAATAAGCCACACAAACGACATAAACGCTAGTGGCTTGGGAGCGAATTGATTTGATTCTATCCGATCGAGTCAAGCCGCTCGACTTTTTACGAGATAAACGTAGTGTGGTATTTGCGGCCACAAAATTCTTCAGCTTCAAATCTTTCAGTTCGCACTGATCCAGGAAAATTCGTCTCAAAGGAAGCCGCTACAGCCATGTCAAAAGGATTTATTCTTACGTGGTGCTTACTTTTCGACGTCCACCTCCGTGAACATACGTACGTGGCCCTTCGCAATCCATTTTTCTTTGAGTATAAATATGCTGTTCTTGCATACATGCAGATCATCCGCAATGACCAATCATTCTGAAGTAAAGTTATAGCTTTCACTTTCTCTGGTTCCGTTAATCGCGGCATCTTGAATTACCAAGCAAATTACTAATGACACTGACATATAAAAACTTGTCATAGTAAAAAGTAGACCACATCACATTAGAAAAATAAATCGTCCACTTTCAAAGGGCCGGCAGTGTACTTCGTCAATTTGCACACTTTTAAAGGGGCAATTTTATTGGTCACCAAGAAGTTTTGATTTAACCCTAATGTGCTACTTAATATGAGGAATTCCGAATGATAAAGTAAACAAAGAACGAACTAATAATAATTGAATCTAACTAGCAATTTTCATAAGGTGGATAACGTCGGGCATTAAAAAAAATTTTGCTTGGAATATACGTTTATTTTATTTTATTTCTTAACAGAAAATATAGAGATCTGTTTGATAGACTTACATCAGATGAATACACATCAGTTGCATGGCAATGTTAACTATATTACTCAATGTGTAGGATCAATAAATAAACATAAACAACCAAAAAAAAAACGCAACATTCAATTGCAATATTTCTTTGAAATCTCAAGTAACTATTTTACAATTATGAATTATTATTTTTTCCTAGACACTCTTAAACAAGCAATACTCCTTTCCGACATCTAGAGTATCTCTCTCCGTGATTTAGAGTATCTTTCTTCGAAATCTAGAGTATCTCTTGGACATCTAGAGTATCTCTCGACATCTAATGTATCTCTCGACATCTAGAGTATCTCTTTTCGAAAACTAGAGTATCTCTCTTAGACATCTAGAGTATTTCGACATCTAGAGTATCTCAGAAAATATTGCAGACACAAAGTGATAACAAATCATTGAGCTCGGTCAAGACATATTCAATTGTCAAATCAGAAAGTTCATCTTCATCTCTTTCGATTTTTACAGTTACAGGGACGTAGATATACATTTTATTCACAGTTTTGAATACCTTTCTGTGTCATTTGCTAAATCAATCTGTTTTTTTAATGAATTCATGGCTATGAAGATATTAAGCGAAATTGCATTTTTTAATGGAATTGTACCGGAAATTGTATTATATTCTCCTTGGTGTTTTATATACGAATAAAACGTATTTTTACTTTCCGATGGAAATAGTTGGCTGTGATAATAATTTATTTTTAACTAGATAACCATATATGCCATAAATTTTTTTCTACATTGAAGAGTTTAGTTTAACTAAATTACTATTCGTTAGTTTTTACATGTGCAAAAATATCTACATCCTGTATAGAACTGTTAAAACTTATAGCTGAGCAAAGTAATCAGAACTTGTTTAGACAAATTAACAGTTATTAATAACGTAATTTCAACAATATAATGACATCATAAAGCATATGATTATTTCGATTTTATAAATTGTTTGTGTTACAAGTAAATCTTAGTGTTTAAATTTAATCCTATTTAGCCTTGCTGTTTTTTATGTAACGGAATTACACTCCATAAGAAGGCTTATTTAGCATGAAAATGTGCCGAGATGATGAGTTGATTTAAAAATAACTAATGCGTTGCAAAACCTGATTTCTCTGTAACTTCGCAGGGTGGGTTAAAAAAAATATAAAGCACATAAATTTTTTTTTAACCGTTATCAGAATTCGCACATATTTCTGTAATTTGATATTCAAAACTTTTCTATGAGAAGGTATGTTCAGAGCCATCATAAATGATTACAAGCCAATTGTTTTGATTGAAACAGTAATTTTATTTCCTTCATGTTGGCAAAAAATTTCGGTAAAATTAAAACAATAAAATCAAGGTTCATTAAAACACAACATTCTGTTTCATCAGCCGTGTTTGGTGTAATTCTTCACGAGATTGTAATCAACCTCGTATTCAACCAATCAGCGATCGCATTATCTCGAGCATAAACGTAGGTAACGGTTTGTCTTTGTTCATTGTAAACGAATCATACTGGTGACTACAAAATTTAGGGAATTTTCGTTACAGTACCAATCGTGCAATGTTGGGTTGCCTAATCTCAGCGGTCACGTGGCTTCTAAACATTTAACAAGGTTCTCTATTTTAAAAGTAAAATTTTCTTATTCTTATTTTCTTTTAAAAATCTGTCACTAACTACAAATAAATAAATATGAATTTGATATCATCTGATAACAATATTACTTACTTTTTAATTAATCTAATTAAATATCTCATTATACAATAAGGACAGTTAATAAGACATTATATTTTACTTACCCAAAACTGAAAGCTCTACAAGCATTTTGCTCTTTCGTGCAAGCTTCCTGACATTCGGGCAAGGTGTTGTACTCGAAAGATTTGTAAACATTTTTTGGATTCAGTCGTTGACCGATAGCCAGTCTCTCAAAGCAATCTGCAAAACATTAAAATTTGTTAGATTAGATGAACCAATATTGTCTGAAACAATTAACTTGCTATATTTTTAAGTACTTTCTTTTTTAGTTTTTTTTGTTACGTATAAATTAATCCTTTATTAATTAGCACATAAACCCCTGCATTATAAGCATTAGTCATAGGTTGTTTTTTGACAAACCTATTTTTGCCATAATGAGAACTATACTATACATATTCTCATATCACTAAAAAAGATAAGTGTGTTTAAATTTTTCTAGAGACGTTAATCAGTACCTACTGGTTGAGAATCGTCAGAAATTAGGCAAGTAACATTTCGAGAATATTAATAATTAATTAATTAATTAATTAATTAATAGAAACACAGGGATATTAAATATTATATGATACGTCAGCTCTTCATGAAAGGATATAAAAAATACATTTTACGTACGACACAGCAAAGTGCTGTCTCTATGAGTGGTCACTGCTACTCAAATAAAAAATGTATGTATCAGTCGTCAACTGCTTCAGTTAAGGCATACTGACAAGGACTAGTAAGTACGAAATGTTTGTTGAGTTGGGCTAAAGAATGATCGTAGCTGTTTATTAGATATTGATGGTATAGTTCAATGTCGATCATGAGTTAAACGCATTTGAAACAGTTACTTTTATGACAGATTCGGCTGACAAATGATCCTGGCTATATAATACAATGCTGGTCGAGGCGTATAGTCTGTAGAGTAGTAGTTTCCAGAAATATCGTCAGTTAGTACATTTTAAAATATCCCATTTTAATTTTAGACAATAAATACACAGTTTTCAAAACGATAGAAATAAATATCTAGAAATGTATCTTACATTATGAAATGCGTTTTTGTATTTATCTACTTCTTATAGAGAAATTTCAATAGTATAAGCAAAAATACGAACGTTAAAAAATAAACACATTTTTTAAAATCTAATTTACATTGAAATAAAAACTATATAGACTAATATTCAAAAGTAGGTATCCCTATGTACAGGGTGATCGAGAATGATTGACCGTGCCGCCTCATACTGATTTTTGTTGTGCGGCGTACCAGTTTTTGATACCAATACTAGAATCATGAGCGCAGGTTGAGGGATTTTAATGGTAAACAAATAATTACGTTCAAACGTCAAATAAATTACGTTACTGTCAAAAATGGAAATTCATAATAAAAATATCAATTATTTAACAAAAATCAAAGTTATTTCACAAATTAAGCAATACTGATGGACCAATAAATGTTATTATTGTTATTATTATTAAAGAGGATGACAGAATCAAATGTAGGTTTAGCCTAACTTTTCCAAAATTCTTATTTCATTTACAATTAGAAAAACTTTTAAATCAAAGTTTGATGTAGCTAATTTTGAATAACGACTGTAAGTGCTTCAGCGATTTTATTTTTAAAACGTTATGAGTTAATTTTAAAACAGAAGCACTATTGTGGCTACATTCTTGGCATCTAAGACGATTCAGCTATACAGCGATACGCTGCAAGCTGCTGTTTTTCATCAAAGCAAACTGCTGTATGCTTATAAGACGACTATTTTGCAGCTACTGCTTTCACACTTCTGAATATCCAGCGCAAGCGATCCAGCCCAAAAATTTATGCTGAACATTTTAGTTAGCTGTCGAAATTCAGGAAAAGTGTCTTAAAAAAATTTGCTTCAAGCAAATGCAAGCAGTTGGAAGTGCTTGATTATGTTAGATGGTAGGATTGTCTGTATGACCGAGAGCAATAAACAACAGTTACATGCAATATATAATAACAGAGTAATTGGAATTTTTTCACATTTTATTGAATATTTTACCTTAAAATTACATAAAATCCATAAAAATATCTATATTTTTACAATAAATGTTCAATATGATGTCCATTGTTGTTCAAGCAGGTATTAATTCTTCTTTTCATATTATTAAATACATTCTGTAAAACATTTTGTGTAATACTCCTAATTTCGTTTGTAATTGCCTCTTGAAGTTCTTCAATCGTGTGTAACCGTTGAGCAAATACTGAATTTTTTAAAAAACCAAATAAATAATAGTCTAGGGGTGTAAGGTCAGGAGAACGTGGTGGCCATCTATCTCGACTAATTATTCGATCATCATAATACTCTCTAATCAACTCTAAAGTTTCGTTAGAGGTGTGAGCTGTTGCGCCATCTTGCTGAAAGTATCCATGATGGATTTCATCGTCGTGAAGTTCCTCAAAAAATGGTAACAATATTTGCTGCCGATATACCTGCCCAGTTACATTTTCACGGAAAAAATATGGTCCGATTATTCTTCTACGTGACATAGCTACCCAAACACCAAGTTTAATAGGGTGCAGAGTTGTTTCACGCAAAATATTAGGGTTTTCTGTGTTCCAAGAGCGATAATTTTGGGAGTTTACGTACCCACTTAAATGAAACCACGCTTCATCAGAAAAAAATGTTAGATCTAGAATATCGTCGTCATTCAGATTTTCGTTAAACCAATTACAGTATTGCACACGTTTTCCAAAATCTAACGGAAGTAGTTCCTGCACAACACTAACTTTATAAGGATGAAAATGCAACTTCTTTACTGCTTTATGGCATGATCCATATGATATTCCTATAAACAATTTAGGAATAATGATACAAATTTTAGAATAAATATTTGTTATTAAGTACCTGTTTGAGCAGATAACCGACGTAGTGATTTGGTTGGACTAGCTCGTAAGCGGTTTTCAACATCTTCCAAGACTTCCTCTGTAAGAATAGACTTTCTGCCTGGAGATTTTCCTCTACAAACACTTCCAGTGTTATGGAAGCGTTCCACTAATCTCTTCACGTGTCTCGAAAAAATTTCATAATCAATTTCATCATTTGGAAATTGTTCTTGAAATTGTAAATGACACGAATTCATCGAATATTTCCAACCATTACCATTGTTTTGTCCACTACGAAAATAGGCCTCCAGAAGAAATTTATCATGTTCTAATGAAAATGCCATGTTAACCTAAATTAAAAAACCGATTAGGTTAGAGAACAACATACGCAATAAATTAATTACTCACGTATAATATCCACCTACTCTAACTGTAGTATTGAAAAATACTGTTTTATAATGTCGCAAAATATATCAGGTAACAACAAAATCTACAAAATAATATTCAAGCCAAAAAATCCGTGCGCCAATGAACAGAACGTCAAATTGTGAAATCGCCACAGAACACCATGAAATCGCACGGAAAAAAAAGTAATTTTAGCAAACGGAAATCAGTTTTGATAGCAATTGAGACAGGGTACGTTCAGAATCCGGTCAATCATTCTCGATCTCTCTGTATTTGGGAATATACTTATTAGTACTAACGAAAGAAAAGTCTGGAAAAAAGTCATCATCAGGGTTAGTATGATGAAAAACTTACATACGTATTTAAGTTACCATGTTTTTTGTGTTACTGTGCCTATGTTCCAAATCGCAGTAATTACAGATTTATAATCACTTCCTTAGTCTTAGATAGAAATCTTTGACGTGCCCCTCTAGGATATGTGTGGGCGGACCTGCTATCAGAATTAGTCCCTCTCCTGATACTGTTGTTGGTCCTAAGGTCACTACGGACGGGGCCGCTTCTCAGACAACAGTAATCTTTTGAGGCGTTCCGTAGCTTCTTATCTGCAACTGGTTTCCCCTAACACTTCAACACGTTTCATTGTTCTACATTGTCTGTACCTTCAGTGGTGACTTTGTAAAATCACTCAGAAGACCACCATTATCTGTATCCGTCGTGTCAGCCCCCACACAGCCTAACCCGAGAACAACCAGAGCAAGGTCAAAAATTCATAGCTCAGGTTAAGAAAGTGCATTATAAGTTTGCAGCTAGAGGCGAGCAGATATATAAACTACGGCCTAACAACCCAAAAAAGAACCTAAATAACAGCAAAGAGCGTGAAAGCCTTAAAACTGTTACCCACTACAAATCCCAATTAGTTCGTAAAAAGCAAAATTTTGACTGACTACTATTTAAATTATATAGTTATGAATCAAAATTAGAACTAAAATATATGAAACTTATATTTGAAGCGATATAAGAACTAAAATTATTACGTCATATTTAAATTAAAAGTAGGCATATAAAAAAAAAATTGCGCCATGTCGAATTGAATTGAAATTTGTACCTGTATTCTTAGATCGAGTTAATTTATTCTATAATAGGTGTTTTTTTTTTATTGAAGATCTTTGTTGGTGTCGTCTATATTTTGATGTGGATATACATGTTCAAGGTCATCTAGTGCATATTTATTACTACATAGCAGCTCAACTTTAAGTATTAGCTAGCCCACAGTTTAAATTACACCTGCTTCAAGATTCACAATACAATAAATCGACATATACCCTCCGATGACACATAAACCACCATTTATTATACCATTTAGTTTCTCCATCTCTTCGCGGCTTTTTACGAACGCCTCACGTTAATAATTTGACTAGGAGGTCAGAAAAAGTTCGTTAACATTCTCCACATCCGAGGACCAGATTTGCAACAGTTATACAGTTATTCGGATTTTTTATTCGATGCGTATTTAGATACGATTGAAACGAGCTACTTTTGGCAAGGAAGTCGCTGAAATTATCCGCTTGTTACATTGGCGAGGGTCAAGACTGTAGTGAGGCCCCTTTCAGATGTGGAGCAAAAAAATTATAAAGCATAATCATCTCGTCGAAATTAAAGCCGATAAAAAATGGCATGTGAATCGGTCCAGTTTTTTCTTATCAAGCTTGTCAAGATCGGATAGATAATAAATCATAACCAGGTTATATGAAAGGATATTGGACCATGTGTAATTATTGCAGTAATCATTAATTAATATACTGTCAAAGACCGGAGAAATATAAAGCTGTAGTAAATGTGTATAACAAATACTGCTAATAATAATAACAACAAAAATCGAGTTGAGCAGATTACACTTGCTTATTCTAATGTATTTCGAAGTATGTTGCTTTTCCTTTCAGTTTTGTTTTATTAATATAAGAACGTTTTTTATATAAACATATTTTGATTTTTTATAAACATTGTGAGTAATAGTTCTATAAAGGGTAGACAATATTCTTAAAAATAGTTCAAGAAGCCACTATTGCAAATATCCACAATTTGGATTCATGTAAGAATATTAATTATATTTTCTTATTTTTACAGGGTGTAAGGACTTTGACTGCCCTTACTTCAGCATGAGATAGAGTAACCATAAATGAACAAATTAGTTGTATATTGCAGAGGCGTAAGATTAACGGTATTCAAAATACAGCGAGTATTAATATTGGGGCGTTTCATCACAACGTGAAAACAGGGCTTAACTTGCTGATGCACACCACGTGGTCACGCTGCAGATTTTCCTATGGAAAAAATGTATACAACAATTATTGTGGGACACTTAGTAAATTTTAAGTTTTCCCGTTTTTAAATAAATAAAATAAAATGTATCGATTTTGTAGTACGAAGATAGTGTTGTGCTAAAATTTTAACTCGAATTTTTGTGAATGTTTAATTTATTTATTTTACAAAAATCATTGGCGCAGAAAATATTTTTTAAGCATTTATTTTTTATTTCATTGTTTTTTTAATTTAATATGTATTTGGAATTATAAGTCCTAACTATTCTATACATATTTTTTACGAAACAAATAGTTTTAGAAATATTTTCTTTTCGACTGTGTGGTAAATGTAATGTTAAATTAAAAACTAATGTAATAATCTTATTTTAAAATTAGAAAGACAAGTGTTTCCAAAATACAGTGACGTCGAAATTCTGGTGATCTTATTAAAAGTGCCTCAGACAAATAAAAAAGAAAAGAGCTACTGGTTAAGAAGATTATATATTAGTTTAGTGAATGTTTTACTTTAATTAAATAGGTATATTATTAAGCCAAGTTTCTTATGTTGGTACTAAATATCTTCAAAGATATTTGATTAAATGCGACATATCTTTTCAGACTTCAGCAAGTGTATCTCAAAAATGAGTAACCCTCGAGTCATTAAGATCAGTATAAAATAATTATGACAGTTATTGCTTTATTTTGCTAGTATTCTTCTACTAATAAATAAATCGTATTATTTATTTTATTATTTTATTATTTTAATATTTTAGTATTTTAGTATTTTATTATTTTATTATTTTAGTATTTTAGTATTTTAGTTTAGTAATTTAGTAATTTAGTAATTTAGTATTTTAGTATTTTAGTATTTTAGTATTTTAGTANATGATCATCATCATCATCATCATCATCTTTTTTTCCAAAAATAGAAAATACTGCAACCATGTAAACAATGTCAATATCTATTTTCAATAATTATGTAACAAAAATACATGTAACATTTGAACGAAGAAAAAAATTACGTTAATATAATAAAATACAAGAACAAAGAGGGAAATATGAAACATGAAACAAAATAAAAATAAGAATTGAAAGAAAATTTCAGTGTAAATCAATCAAGACTATTGAACAGCATAACCAACTTCAATTATTATTTCAGCGGATATTCTACATAATAGAAAATTATTTCTTTAAATAACATTGAAGATGACACGTTAGACTAAAACAATAACTATTGAAAATTATTTACGCATTAAAAAACATAAATTCATTTGATTGGAAAGTACAGACACAATAATATTCAAATGATGATTATGTCGATTCAGAAACAAATACTAAATAAAAATTATTTTTAATAGTATCCTATGCAACAAACTTTGGACCTACTGTTCCATTGTCCCTCTGTCGTCCTTCTTTTAATAGTGATAACTAAAAGGACATAAATTACTCACATTTCATAATGCATCTAAATATAAATTCTATACAAAATGTAACGACCACATTGCAATAAACTTTAAGGACTGATTCCTCTCACCCAAACAAAATAGGGCTTCGAAAAAACTGCAGGACAGCTACAACCTTTGAAGGACCTTATAGTCTTTGGAAATCGTTTTGAGAAAAATCATTATCATTATTTGCTTTATATGTTTTAACGAGACGGGCTTCGTAACGTTTCTGATACATCTCGTATATTGAAATTATAATTTTGATTATTATTATTATTATTATTATTATTATTATTATCATTATTACTATACACCAACAGCTAGACAATTACAGGGTAGAAAAAGTACATAATATACCAAATAAATCAAGAAAAATTAAGTAAAATTGCATAGTATCTCTTTTGCCTTTGTGTCAACAACAACAAACATTGTAAAAACTAAAAATTTTCTTGTGATCTCAAAGAAGAATATAAAAAACAATTCAAATATGCACAGATTCCATGACGATTGTGATTTAAGACATGTATATGTTGGTGTAATTAGAGCACAAATAGGATTTTAAAAAACGATAAATTTGTCTCTTAACTCTTAAATTAAGTCGATAAATGTAACCGTTTAGCAGGAAATCACTATTAATCGCAATTAAAGTGTTATTAAACATCAAATTTTTGATAATACTTTCTGCAATTAATCAAGTTGCCATGTTGCAATACCATCTCTCGTAAAACCAGCTTCGTTAATAAATAAAATTTTATTAGTAAATTCAGTATCCTCATCGTATTTTTCCACAACGATATTACAAAACCGAAAAAAATATATTATGGTGAAAAATACAAATATACCTGCTTTAAACAATTTTTATTACAATTCATAACACCAAAATTATCTACCAATGATATGTATTTGAAGCATGGTAACTTGATTAATTACAGCGATTTCCTAGTAAACTGTTACATTTATCGGCTTGAACAAAGAGTACATAATTTTTTCTGATATTGTTTCTCTTTTCAATAGTGTTTAAATTTCTACGATGTCTAGGAAGAGAAAAGAGTTATGAACAAAACAATTTTTGAGTTCTAGGTAAAGTGCCCTCTAGCGGTGCATAATAAAACTTTTCTCTGGTCCAATAGAGCTTCATCTACTTAGTTTGTGTGCCAAATGAGAGACTAATCGAACTTGAATGAATTAAATAAGTTATTTAAAAGGAAAAATAAAAAAAAATTGAACTATGACAAGCTATAACTTGCAAACAATTGACAATTCGAAAAAAAAAATGTAATTATATATTGCTGTTACTTTAATCCGTAGAATCACCTCCTGGAGTTTCCTGACGGACTTTCAGAGCACCCTAGGTATATACAGGGTGGGCCATTAGTGTGAGAAAGTTAAATAACTCCTTTGTTATTCATAATACAGAAAAAAGTTTATATAAAAGTTGTACAGAATCAAAAGACCTAAATAACAAAATTAATTTGAAGCATACAGGGTGATGAGTAAAAACGAGACACGCCAAATATTACATATTTTAAATAGAACACCCCAGATATGGCTTTCTGAGAAAATTCTATATATGGCAATATAAACAGTTTAACATTTTAGTGCGGGGTTGCCAAGTTATGTAGAAAATTCTTCGAATTTTGGAGAAAACATGACCTCGAAGAAGTTGTATAAACTTTCAACTACTAACACTTGGAGCAAAGATATTTTATAGAGTTATAGGCAAATGTTAGACAAAGACTCCTATATTAACTAATATCGATATTTTATACACGGCATTTGTTATAATACGATAATTTTAAGAAAGTTCAAACTTGATTTTCTAAAATTTTTCAAATGGAACACCCTGTATTTTATTGTTCTATTTTATTCACATCTCAGTCCACTTCAACTGTTATTAAGTACGTTCTACACCTAAAATTGTTAGTTTTTAAGATATATTAACATTTTTGGAAAAACCTAATTTTTAATATTTTCGGTCGCACGGCTTTGGAAAAAACTGTCACATTGTGTCAACTTGTCAGTTCATAATTTACCATTCCAATTTGAGTTAGCTTTATTAATTAATATTTATTTTTGGTATTCTATAAAATAATAAAAATTAAGTTTTTTCAGAAATGTTGCTATATATTAAAAACTAACAATTTTAGATATAGAACATGCTTAATAAAAGTCGAAGAGGACCGATATGTGAATAAAATAGAATAATAAAATACAGGGTATTCCATTTGAAAAATTTTAGAAAATCAACTTTCTTAAAATGATCGTATTACAAAAAATGCCTTGTATAAAATATCGATATTAGCTCATATAGGAGTCCTTGCCTAACATTTGCCTATAACTGTCAAATATGTTTGCTCCAAGTGTTAGTAGTTGAAAGTTAATACAACTTCTTCGAGGTCATGTTTTTTCTAAAATTCGAAGAATTTTCTACGTAACTTGTCAACCCCGCACTAAAATGATAAACTGTTTTCATTGCCATATATAGAATTTTCTCGGAAATCCATATGTTAAAAAATATACAGGGTGTTCCATTTAAAAAATGTAATATTTGGCGTGTCCCGTTTTTTACTCATCACCCTGTATGTATCAAATTAATTTTGTAGTTTAGGTTTCTTGATTCTATATAACTTTTGTATAAACATTTTTTCTGTATTATGAGTAACAAGGGAGTTATTTTACTTTCTCACACTAATGACCCACCCTGTATATACCTAATTAAACACTTAAAATTATTTAGGTACATTACTAGTTTAAATGTATTTTACGTGAATGTACAAGAAACGTAAAAACATAAAGTCTGTTTTCTAATTTTTATATTGTTTTGGAACTGTAAACAATAATCGACAATTAACATACTAGTAAAACGAATAATTAATTGCATGTGACTTACCGCTTTTTATCACCGTCAATTGATTGTCTATGGTCAAAGCTGTAACTATGCCTAAATACGCTAAGCCGGCTGCCATCCCGAAAAATAAATAATTACTAATACATATACACATCTTAGTTCTGTCTAAACGTAGAGACAATTCAAAAGCATCACTATTTCTTCACAAACACAATAGATTAGAACACCCAGGGGAGCGTTATCCGCATAAACAATCGCCTTAATTCATTTGTTTAATTAAAACGCGCTCTCTTGCATCCCATCGTAGCAGGTTTTGCAATCACAGCATGCCTTGAGGAGCGTCGGTAAAGTCTGAGGTGGTGCGTCTGAAGAAAACAACCTGCGACCTAGAAGGCCGTGGACAGCAGCTTAAATGCGGAGGAATCGAGTTATCTGTGGTCTTTATCGGCGCTATTTAGTCTCTACACTGAGAGAAGTTTTATATACAAAAACTGTATGCTGCTACCACGAGTTAGGAAAATCTCACAAAACACTGTCTCTGACCAATAAGAAATGTCCAACTTTCATAATCCATGGGTAGTTTACATTTTTATATTACACGAAGTAGACTATGAACGAATGACTCTGGAGTGAAACAAAAGCTTTCGTTTTTCTTTAGTGTCAATTTTTTTTCTTTTAGGTGGTAGTCCTTGTTTCTCTAAAATATTTTCCGATTCTTGGGACGGTCGTGGAAAAATTGGTTCTTCTGACAGAAATTGTCACCATAGCAAATATTTAAAGATTATTTATGATGCATCTCATTTGCTGTTTTTCGAATTTTAGTCCATTACAAAATGCACATTTCATTTTATTTTGTAATTGATCAGCATAAGTTGACCAAAAGATCAAAGCTCGTCAAAAGATCAACATACGCTGATTAGCATAAGCTAATGATGATCAAAAGATCAACATAAGTTAATCAAACGATCTTTTGACAAAATGTACTAACACCTGTATTGATACACAAATTGTATTTTCAGTGTACCTAGACCGGCAGCCGAATAAAAGGGGGAGGTGTGATTTTGTGTGAGGAAGGTCGAGTTTCTTGGAAGTCTTATCGATCAGGCCAGTCATAGGAGCCGGCTGTTTTTTAAAAATAAATATGTGGTTCATTGTAATTCATGGCCAGCAGATCCCTTCCCGAGATACGCTAATTAAAAATCGTAATTAGATGAGTAAGATGAGCGTTGTTTGGTTTTTGTTAATTACGTAGATAATTTTCTCATTCTTGAAAATGAAGCGGCGATTTTTATATCTGTGATGTCATTCACCGAAATGCGATCACCGAAACGAAAATCTTCTTCAATACATATTCATGTGTTGTGGAATTAATTGCCCGTATCGTAACAATCACATTAAATATGGTGTAAGTAAGAATTATTAATTATTATAACAGAAAAAATATAGGATGAGGCTAAGATTATTCCAATATTTAAGAGAAAAAGACGAAGTACAATCAATCAAACTAATCAAACGAGGCGTTACAGGGCATTGTTTTCGCCCTATTTTAAAGATATTAAGTTAGGAACTCAAACAAATAAAAAAAATTCTCAAATAAAATTAAACAATGTGAGATAAGTTAGGAACCCAAAAAAATTAAAGAAATTCTCAAATAAAGTTAAACAATGTTTTTCGGTACCTTCTAGAAATGTAGATACCCTTAATTGGTCCGTTAGTGTAACTACCTTGTATACAGGGATGGCCAAAAGTACGGAATAAAATTAATATTTTTTGAATGAGTTAATTTTTTTTAAAACGCCGAAACACGTTAACTGATTTTGATTTTTTCCCATCTTTCGGTTATATAATAATTAATTTTTCTTCAACCCTCTAATCCCAGCTACCCCTACTTTCTTTCTTCAAATGGAAACATAAGGCACGAGGGGGCTCATTGAAAAGCTTATAGAAAATTGAATCCAGCCATACCAAATAAACAAGTTTTATTTTATCAATAGCAAGGTTTTTAGGGTTGTATAAAACACCTACTTAACAAGTGAAATAAAATTTAATTATCTTCAGTGTTATCCTCCATGAATCTGTACAGAATAAAATAAAGAATTTGAAACTGTACCTATCACTGCTAACGCAAAAAAGATATATTTTTTATGTTGCATTTTTTTGGCACCACTTACTTGCCAGGCTTTCTGGTTAATTTTTCGCTATAGTTGTAAATTGGAGTTCGAAAAGTTACTATTGTGTCAAAATCAAGTTATTTACTGAATTGCAATGGTATTGTCGAAAAGGCAACGCATCATCTTGATATTGATTGGATGTGGAGACAAAATAAGAAGTCAGACTGAAGTGCGCGATTTATTTAATGCAAAATATCCCGAAAACCAAATCTCGCAAGGGACAGTTAGTAAAATACTTCACAAATTTGAGGAACACGGTACAGTACAGACTTTGCCCAAAACTGGACGGGCACGTGCTTTGAATGAAGAAAAGAAATTAGACATTGCATTAGAACTTGTTGAAAATCCTCATACTTCAACTGTTTCATTGGTCCGCAATCACGATGCTTCTCGAACTGTAATTCGAACGTTTCTGAAACAAGAGAAATACCACCCCTATAAGGTATGTCTTGTCCAAGAGCTTTTGGAAGACGATTATGATAGGCGATTACAATTTTGTGAGGAAATGATGAGACGGTGTGACGACAATAATGGTTTTCAACGAGACGTACTTTTTTCGGATGAAGCTTTTATTTACATGGAGTGATTAACAGGCACAACTATCGCTTTTGGTCCCAGGAAAATCTACACTGGACATGCGAATCGCATACGCAGCATCCACAAAAAGTTAATGTATGGGCAGGTATCATCAACAACAGAATCTTGGGCCCATTCTTTTTTGAAGAAAATCTTGCTGCCGCACGCTACCTGGATTTTCTAACATTTGACCTGATACGTGCTCTAGCTGTGATTTTCCCTCGTGAAATTGATCCAGATATACCGAATGAAAAAATTTGGTTCCAACAAGATGGCGCTCCCTCACATTTTGGTATTGATGTTCGAAGATACTTAGATGAAATGTTTCCAAATCGCTGGAATGGTAGATGGGGTACAGTTGAATGGCCGTCAAGATTCCCCGACTTAACACCCCTCGATTATTTTCTTTGAGGATATTTGAAAGAAAGTGTCTACCAGGACAGACCGGATAATATTGAGAATTTAAAGAACAAGATTAGGGCGGAGATGCATAATTTACCAGCGGAAGTCATTCAGAATACTGTGGACAGCTTTTGCTATCGTCTTGGAGAATGCCAAATAGTGAATGGAGGGCATTTTTAGCATTTGCGACATTGAGTTTGTTTTTGTAAATTATCTAGTTGTTACAATTTCTAAATGAAAACTTGTTATTGAAAAAATAAAACTTGTTTATTTGGTAAGGCTGGATTCGGTTTTCTATAAGCTTTTCAAGGAGCCCCCACATGCCTTATGTTTCAATTTGAAAAAAAAGTAGGGGTAGCTGGGGGTTAGGGGGTTGAAGAAAAATTAATTATTATATAACCTAAAGATGGGAAAAATCAAAATCAGTTAACGTGTTTCGGCGTTTTAAAAAAAATTGACTCATGCAAAGGATATGAATTTTATTCCGTACTTTTGGCCATCCCTGTATAAATAAAATGAACTGGCGAACAGAATAGTATGCAGATATTATAATTTTGTTGTATTAGATTTATAAAAAATTGTGAAATGGCTATACTTAATAGCTAAAATATATAATAAATATTTATTAAAAATTATCAGTTGAGAAAATCCATAGAAAAATTATTCCTGTGATTTATTATTTCAAGTCAACGTTTTTTATGTTTTACTAATGCAACTCTTCCCGTCAATCCAGGAACATCTTATTATAAACACAAGGATCTCGAACATGAAGGCAGTTTTGGCGAGTATTCGTCTTCCCATTCACTCAGTTCACTGTTAACATTAGTACCTAAACCGGTCTTAGAGGCAAAGTTGGGAAATTCGAGATACAAATTGCTCATGGGTGACCTAGGAAAATATGTGTCTAATTGGGGGCTTTGTAGACCTGTTGTAATTTCAGAAAAAAAGTTAATGTCCTTAAGTATACACGACACCACATACGAAAAATAACGGATGAGTTTCGTAAGTTTAAAACGATATGGTGTGATTAACCTTCGGTTTCATACATTCACAAAAAATTTGTTGACACAAAAATATATTGTTGAAAGACATATTAATAGAAATTTCGAACATTCTTGGAAAACATGGTTCAAACTAAATTTTTCTGACATTAGAGGCAGAAAAAATAGAATCCCACGTAAAAATTCAAAATTAAAATTTATACAGATCACAAAAAATCTACTATATCAGAAATCAAAAATGTTTTATTTGCCTCAGTTGAAACAGACTTTGTTTAGAATATGTTTTAGTTAAGCCCTATTCGTTATTTTTACCAAGATTGATCTGCAGGCAGACGTCGGTACCAGTTGATAATAGTTGAAAGTAAATATATGAAGAATTTCATAGTTGTCATCGTTGGTTTAGATTTCTTCAATTTCGAAAAATTCGGTTTGGGGAGTTCTCCTGAAGCTGACTTTTTTATTAGGTATACTGGGTTTTCAAAAAGTTTGGAACCCCGGCTCTATCTCAGAAACAAAAGTTGCAGGGTTTTGAGTCAGCAATCCAACGGTGACCTTGACCATGACCTTGAAAGTCATTTAGAGGTCAAGTTGAAAATTTTAAATGGAACCGTATAAATTTAATACGGGAAATGGAAATAATAGAAATTTTTACGTTCAGATATGACCTTGACCATGACCTTCAAGGTTATTCAGAGGTCAAGTTGAAAATTTACGATTCCATTTAAAATTTTCAACTTGACCTCTAAATGACCTTCAAGGTCATATCCGAACGTAAAACTTTACATTTTTTCCATTTCCGGGGTCAAAAGTATATGGTTCCACTTAAAATTTTTAACTTGACCTCTAAATGACCTTCAAGGTCATTATCAAGGTCACCGTTGGATTGCTCACTCAAATCCCTGCAACTTTTGTCCTAATCATTTTTTTTATTGAGCAGTATTTTCTGAGATAGAGGGGGAGTTCCAAACTTTTTGAAAACCCGGTATATCTAAGTTATGTAAACATTAATAATAAGCGT